TCACAATTCTTTTAAACTGCTCGTAATGGGTAATCACACTCATGCCTGGTGGCACCATAGGGGCCCTTTAAGGGTCTAGGGTTCGGGTTTAGGGTTCGGGTTTAGGGTTCGGGTCTAGGGTTCGGGTTCAGGGTTTGCCCTTCCAAGGGAAACCAAAGCGAGGGAGCGTTTGTTTCTGCGATATTCTGCTAAACCAACCGACGGGTTTAAACTCACTGAGGCGCGCGACGCCGGGCGAGGGATCAGACCTCGACGTTGACCTTGGCCCAGCGGTAGTGCAGCGCGCTGGGGTTCCTCAGCAGCACCAGGCCCCTCTGCTCCGCGGGCTGAGCCAGCAGGGTGTGGACCAGGCCCTGCAGGCTGACCAGGCCCAGCGCCTCGCCGCAGCCGGCCCACAGGGAGAAGTCCCCCTGGGTCACCCAGCCCAGCGTGACCCGGGAGCAGTGGGACGTGACGCTGGGCAGCGGCTCGGGCCACAGGCCTAAAACAAGACCCGCGGAGGATGAGGAGGAGGCGGCGCCGGAGGAAGACGCGGTGGCGGCGGCGGCGGCGGCGGGGTCGAGCGGGCCGGCCGCCGGAGCCGGGGGGACGGTCGCCGTCGGGGGCTTCGGACGCCGGGGCGGCGGCGGCGGCGGTCTTCTTGTTGCCCTTCTTCTTGCCGCGCTTCACTTTGCCCTTGAAGCGGTCTTTGTGGGCCGGCTCCAGCGGGCCGCTGCAGCCGGCCCCCTTGTTGCCGAGGCGACGCAGGTCCTCCGCCGTGGCCGCGCACACCTGGGCGTGCGGCTCGGGGCCGCCCTTCGACAGCAGGGACACGCGGACCCACGCCAGCGCCCGGACGTGCGCCGTCAGCAGCGCCGCTCCGGACGCGGCGTCCAGGGGCGCTTGGTCCCGCGCGCGGAGCGACCTCTGACCTTTGGAGGTGGTCGGCCGGCACCAACCGGACAGCAGCTTCAGGGACTTCCTGTTCCTGGAGAGATCGCCGAGGAGAACACACAGACTCAGACGCCATACTTTATATTAAAATATATTATATTACACGGGAAAATTTCACTGTGAACGTATGAGATTAGCGTCGACATCACACAGATGTGATTTTCTGCATGTATTCATGTTCTGCAGAAATCTTGGCCAAGCCAGAATATAGAAAAAAATATATATAAAGAAATAAACTCAATCTAATCATCTTGTTAAACGCATCATTATTCATCGTTCCCTTCCCGCCCTGCGAGGACATATGCAGCTCTTCCCATACACTAATCTCTGTGATGAATTACAGCAATTTGTAGCCGAGTGTATGCTGGCTTTTCTCATCACAGACATGATGATGAAGGGAGGGGGGGGGGGGGGCGGGGTGGGGGTGGGGGGGGGGGGCGAGACTAGAGCCATGCATCAACCCTGTCAGAAAGCTCGGCGAGCGTCTCAGGGCACTGGAAACAAAAGAGTAACAGTGAGTAACGGTGATTAATATGCGAGGGCTGTGCAACAGTGCAGCACTGCTGATCCCGGAGGACTTTTTAAAGTCAATTGCAACAACGTTATTAGAAGTGTGATTTAGTGGGAGAGGATGTTAACAGGACGTCCGTGGGGGGGGGAAACTCACACGCCGTCCCAGAGGCTAAATACCCCCCCCCCCCCTCCACAGGGGGCATTTAGTATGACCCATTGCGTCCTACTGGAGACTAATCTACCTTCACATTTGTGTGCAGCCATTACGCATTACGCAATGTTGGCGGACAGATCCGACAAACAGCAATTACATTAATAATAATACTGTAATAATTCATTACATTTATATGATACCCAAAGCGCTTGACATAGTGTGTGTGTGTGTGTGTGTGTGTGTGTGGGGGGGGGGGGATATGACATCATCTCATCCGCTACCATTACATATTTAGCCTTAAAGTTTCATATGGTCACAACATCAGACAGTATTGTGTCTCTTCTACTTTTTCATCGGTGTGTAAAACCTTTTTATATTATTAACGATCAATGCAAAGCTCAGATCATTTCCATCAAACACAGTGGAAGTAATATATAATAAACATACACAAACATAACGTTGAATAATAATGAACTATTAGCGGTACCTCAGGACACTGAAGCCGCTCTGCGCCGCAGCCACTGGGCCCGCCCCCTCAGATGTCACTTCCTGCGCGGCGAGCTCTCCCCGACTTTGTCCTCGTCTCTCCCCGCCGCTCCCCGCCGCCGCCGCCGCCGCTGCTGTGGCCTCCTCGCCGGCGATGAGCTCCCACTCCTCGGCCAGCTGTTGCCAGGGGCAACGGAACGGAGCCAGACAGCCGTGCTTTATGTAATTGGTCCTTTTGGCGGGCGGCCGCCTATGGAAGGAGGTGGGAAGGTCAAACGCTTGTCAACCTGCCGGGGGCTGCCCTGCCAATTTACGGGGACGCGTCATGACATCACGACTCGTGACTCATGGCTCGCCGGGGACGGGCGACACGCCGCCTCGTTAGCCTCGTCTCCTCGCCGGAAATGGAAATTAACTTCCAGTGTCCTCCTCTATAGCCGACAGATCACACAGCGCAACGCTGCGGACGGATTAAATAATACACTATAATGATAAGAGCAGAGGACAGACAGTTTTGGAGTTGCGAATATTCACTATTAAAGTTAAGTTAAGGTCCCCTCTGAAAGGACAAACCCTCAGCAGTGATGAGAGACACACACTTTGTTTTCTGTGTCACTTAAGCCAAATCATGAGGACAATGTATGTGACAACCTTGTTAAAAGTTTGGCAGAATAAGGGAGCGCTGCTTTTGGCAGAGTCTTAAAGTTTTGTGACAGTGACTTACTTTTTATTATGAGACCTCAACTTAACCAACCCAGTCTAGCGTTCGCCGAATGAACTGGCTGAACACACAAACAAGGCCTCGGTTACACAGGTCACATGGTCTGTAGTGGTACGGCCCGCACCAGACTGTTTAATATGGTCTGTAGTGGTACGGTCCGCACCAGACTGTTTAAAACGGTCTGTAGTGGTACGGCCAGCACCAGACTGTTTAAAACGGTCTGTAGTGGTACGGCCCGCACCAGACTGTTTAAAACGGTCTGTAGTGGTACGGCCCGCACCAGACTGTTTAAAACGGTCTGTAGTGGTACGGCCCGCACCAGACTGTTTAAAATGGTCTGTGGTGGTACGGCCCGCACCAGAATGTTGAAAACGGTCTGTAGTGGTACGACCCGCACCAGACTGTTTAATATGGTCTGTAGTGGTACGGCCCGCACCAGACTGTTTAAAATGGTCTGTAGTGGTACGGCCCGCACCAGACTGTTTAATATGGTCTGTAGTGGTACGGCCCGCACCAGACTGTTTAAAACGGTCTGTAGTGGTACGGCCCGCACCAGACTGTTTAAAACGGTCTGTAGTGGTACGGCCCGCACCAGACTGTAGGGATGCGGTCATCGGATCACAACGTGAGCAGGATCGTGATCCAATGATAAAAGTCACATTCAAACATTCAAAGTGTAACCGAGACATTGGCTTGTTGTTTGTCTGGGAGACCTTCTGACCTTTTGAACTTGTTGAGGAGCTGCTCCTCCTGCTCCTCCTGGAAGCGGACGCCAGCAGGGCAGTCTGGGTAATCGTGGGGGAAGTGGGCGGCTCCTTTGTTCTGGGAGTGTTTCAGGCTCATCTTCAGACCCCCGATGCGAACGCCTCGGTACACCTTGGAGAGGACAGACGTTACAGCAGAGAGCGGTTATGAATGGAAATACAAACGAGTTGATTGACTGGACAAGCAGAAGCAATCATGGAAGCAATGCTCTACTACTTAATGAATTATTCATTTTTAATGTTCATAAATTAAACATTTAACTGCACCTGTGTGTCTTATTTCAATGTCGCGCTGCAACGATTAGTCAACTAAACGATTAGTCGATAGAAAGAAAATGTATGGAATCAATTGTTCATAACCAATTCATCTTTTAGGTCGTTTATATTTAAGTAAAAATACCAAACATTTGCTGCTTGACGCTTCAGAAATTCAAATGTTTGGTTCATGGATCAATACATAAAATGAATACTTTAGTTTTTCAACTTTAAGACATCATTTGGCCCGTGGGTGTGGGGGTCCTCACCAGGGGCACCCAGAAGGCCATGCCCCAGCCCTTGGGCAGCAGCAGGTCCCAGCCGGCGCCCCAGGAGCTCATCTCCTGGCCCACCTGCTTCCCAGGCTGCTGCACCAGCAGGACCGGGACCCGGCTCTGCAGCGGGGTGGGGCTGAGCCTGGAGCCGGGCACCAGAACCGCTCTCCTCATGCGGTTGATCTCCTGTTATTATTACACAGCTTTGGTTGAATACCTGATTATGATTGGTCAGTTACAGCATCCTGAGGATATTTCTGGTAAAATGAATACGATGAATATATTCAGCTCGATTTTTCAGTCTTTTTTTTTTTGCAGTTTCCGAATATACCTTATACATTATAAAAATAACTTGTACATACGGTGGTATATACTTAACCATACAGGAATGTACCAGAAAAAGACATTACCTGTTCGGCTAACTTGTTATCGGTGACGTTGTCGCGGACAAAGCGGTCCCACAGGGAACTGTGACAGCAGTGCTCCGGGACCCCGTCCAACATCAGTTCCCTCCTCTTCCCGTCAACATCTGGAGGACAGTGACATCGCTCCAGTCACCGGGATGTGCGACGCTACTCTGCACTACGCTTTTAAAACTGCACCAATGAGGCGAGTCGTGTGTAATATTGGTCATATTTGATTAATGAATTTGTCGGGAGCCAAAATATGAACCTGCAGTTTTTTTATTTTTTTAGTGTATTTGTCAGGGACCATGCAGAAATCATTACAGGCTTAAAAAAACATAACAGCTAAGCTGCATGTGGATTCCAGCCATGGCTGACTTGCGACCGCTGGTCCCTGGTGAGACTTTTCTACCCAAGACGTTATCCTGTGATAACATCTTGGCAGAATCAGTGCGGTGTAATGCAGTGGGTCATGGAGGGCGCGGTCCGAGCACAGGGTCCCGCCAGGATTCGAACCTGGCACATCTGCATGGCCAGGCAGAGGCTCCCCAGGAGCACAGAACCAGATGTGTACTCAGTGAACCGGGCCCAGCACTACAGAAAACACACCGATATATTATCTGGGGGAAAAGGTCTGATCCACTACAGCAGGCACCGATACGCTGACGCGGCGTAAACAGAGAAACCCCCCATGGGGAAGACTTTCATCTCATATAATGTGCAACCGGATTCCCTTGAAGTGAGCGTCTCTGCGCAGTATGTGTGGCTAGTCCACCACCGCCTCCTAGGCCAGCTTGTACCTTCGTCCGGCGTAATGTTAGACAAAGCTTTGCTTCTCTTCTGGGGCAGGGCCAAGCGGGGGTCTTCGACGTTGAGACCCAGGACCGTGCCGGAGGGGACCTCGCCGGTGGAGTAGATCCCTGTGGAGAGGAGGAGTGTGCGTCAGGCAACCATATGAGGCTATGAAGCACAACGTCCCTCGGGTGCCGTTTTGGACACGGTAAAGAAACGAGCTGAAGGTACAAATCTGACATCGCCATTTAGGGATTGAGCAATAAAACACTGACCTTTGAATGTCTGGAAAACCTGGGCTTGCTGCCGGTGAAGGGTCATCTTGGCCTCGTCTCTGCAGTGCTCTGGCCACCAGAGGGGCGTGGCCTGGGCTTCGCTCAGGGCCTGAAACCACGTAAAAAAAAAAAAAAAAACAACACACTTGTAAAACCTTTAGAAACACACTTGACTTCATTTTTTGTCGTAGGCGTAATACCGAAGGTCGTACATCACAGTCTGTGGCCGCCTCCAGGGCCTCCGTCAGAACGGCGTGGGACCGCGGTCCAATCAGCCGGTACCGCACGATCTCCATGGAGAGGTCGCTGCAACAGAACCAGCCACTCAACATCCGCATAGAATACAATGGGCGTTTTTTTCTCATTATACTCTCATTAGGCACAATTACATTTGGCATGGCTTCTCCCGATGGAGACAAAGTAAGATAAGACAACGCAGATGAATAAAAGCAATGCCAACAAACAGCAGTAATATGATGTAACATGTTTACAAATTGACTCTGGTGTGAGTACCACTTGAAAAAGGCACTCGTTGCATTAAATCTACTTCAGAAAGCTTCACAAATCAGACTGAAGCCTGGGTCCAGACCTGGGTCCAGACCTGGGTCCAGACCTGACTCCGCCCACTCCACCGAGTTGGAGAGCTGACTGCTTCTGGTCTGGCGTTGTGACATGAAACAGTGGTTTCTCGGTTGAAAAAGCGATTATCCAATAAGCACCGTGCGGGGACTAACGATTAGCCAATCAGCGCCGTGGGCGGGACTAACGCTGTTAAAGCTGTTGTCAAGCTGTGCGCCGGAAACCAAGGAGGAGTAATAACAACAATGGCGACCGCTATAGACAGGATAGTTTATCCTATAGACAGGATAAACATTATGCTGACATGGCTACGCATCAGTGTCACATCAAATGACGTTAGATTGAGGCGGACAAGTTGGTCTCTAGTGATTGGTTAGGGAACATCGAATCGAATTAGTGGAGTGGAGACGTCAGACTGAAGATGGAAATGGAGAATAACGAGTTGACAACTCTGTCTGATATCAGGCTGTCAACAATCCCAAATGCAGCTCAATCCGGTTTCTCTACTAACTTAATGAGTATTCCTGTGGACTTGGAGGTCCAGGTGACCGGCGCTGAGGGAGGTCTGGTTCCATCGCCGACGATCTTCTTCTCCGGGGGTCCGTCGTCGTCGTCGTCCCCGGCGCTGCGTTTCCTCTTGGCCCCGGGGGTCTTCGCCGCCTGGCTGGGTCCTGGGTGTGGGGCTGCCGGGGGGGGCGGCTCCGCGGGCGCGGCCACCGGAGCGACGGCCGGGATTATCGGCTCGCTGCACTGGCACACGCGCTGCAGCTCGGGGAGGAGGTCCTGGGGAGGAAGCACATCTCCTGGGGTTTGAGCTCGGCACGGTTGGCTTAAGCTGGGAGCGCACCGGAAGAGTTATTATTCGGATTCAAGATTCGACACGAGTCAGTCTGGACAGGCGGCATTTAGGATTCAATCTGTAGCCTCCTGATAGAGTGTGTGACCGGTCTGAGTCGACCCGATTCCAACCGTAAATTTCCCGACATGTTGGATATTTACAACTGGAACCGGTACCGACCGGAAAGTGATCCTGTAGTGCGAATCAGCCGTCTTTTACAGTCGGTTAGGATTGTAAAAGACTTCTGGCGTGTTCTCGGCTTTTACAAAACACAACCGCATTGGCTGATCTACCCGATAGCATTAGCGTTAGCTGGTGAACAACAGACCTGTTTGAGAGCGGGGTGGGCCCAGATCCACAGCTGTCTGTGGGAGGAGCCGGGGGTCCGGGGCCTCCAGAGGAAGGTGACCGGGCCCAGCGGGTGGGAGGGGTACCGCCCTGCCCTGTAGACGGTGGCGCTGCCCTGCCTGCGCCCTGACAGGGGGAGCGCCGCAGCAAAAGTAGGACCTGCAGACGGATGCCATTGAGCTTATTAATATCCATTGAGCTTATTAATAGAGCGTATTAAGTTCTGCAGCTTAAGTCAAGGGTTACTTTTCTATGACTAATAATTAAGAAGTCATTATTATTTGAAAAAAAGCCCAATTGATGCCTAAATGACCACCAGGCTCAAAGGTAGATTGTTTTTAAGCTAAATCTAAGGCTTATTACATTTGATTAGTTCTTACAGTATCTTTAAACTTAATGCTTAAGGGTCGGCGCTTACCTGTCTCCTTGCTGGTCAACTGAGACAGACAGGCAAGGAGCTTGTCTTCCTCTCCCTGCAACTCTATGCAACTGTAGTAGGAAAGATCCTGTACACACAGACACACACATGATCGTGTTTACTGTCTGTTTCAATGGGAGGAGTAGCATCTGGAAATCGACCGCAACCACTTCAATTGTCCTCTGTGCGATAATACGACACACATTTTTAGAAATGTAGCTTAGCATGAAAGCATCTGCTAAATGTAAATGTGTGTCTACACATTGATGTGAACAAATCAAAATCAAAGTAACTACAAGAACCCCCCCCCACACACACACACACACACACCCACACCCCCACACACACACACACACACCCACACCCACACCCACAGTGGCGTAACTACTGCATTGCACCGGGGCCCAGACGCCGGTGGGGGGGCCCATGAAGGAAGATTGGGACCAAAGGCTCGGTTCCCCCCCCCCCCCCCCCGTCAACAATTGCGCAAGCCCAAGGCCAGTCCAGGACAAAATTGCCCGGGCCGAACTCTGTTCCCAGTCCACCCCGGGTGTGTGTGTGTGCTTGTGTTTAGGGCGGGGGGCACAAAACAAAATATTTGCACCGGGGCCCATCACCATGATGTCACGCCACTGCACACACACACACACACACACACACACACACACACACACACACACACACACACACACACACACACACACACACACACACACACACACACACACACACACACACACACACACACACACACACACACACGTGTCATCACACCTGCAGGAGGCAGTGGTTGCTCATGGCGCGGTAGCAGGCGCGGTAGCACTTGGTGGTGGGCCGGTCTCCCAGGCAGTGGCCCCACTTCTTCTGCATGTGGAAGCGCTTGGCGTGCCAGATGTGCGTCTCCAGCCACGCGTTCTTCCGCTGCCGCCGGTTGAACTCCAGCAGCAGGTTGCCGTGGCGACGGCGGGCCTTGCGGCTCTTGTTCTTGGGCTGCTCCTTCTTCTTGCCGCCCGCCTTGAGACCCTTCTCTCTCTGAAAGGATGGGAGAGGACAGTAAGCATGATAAGCGGATGATAAGCGATAGACTTCACACTTGATGCTCTGTGTCCCAGTGAGCAGAAATCAACAGTTCTCAGTGGCCAGAAATTCCCAATTCAAAATTCCCATTCCCAGTGTCGGTATTCCTGAGTGTTGTCCACCCATCCAGAGATGTGTGGCGACCGCTTACCATCCTGTTGGCCACCTCCCTCAACCTGCAGGGCAGCCTCTTGGTGTTGTGGCTCATGGCCCTCCTCCTCATGTGTCTCGGCATCGCCCCAAACACATGGCAGCTTCCCGTTGCCTTGGTGACCGCTTTCAGCATGGCGTCCACTTCTGCTGCCCTGGCGGCGGCGAAGGACGTAGCTGGACGGACGGAGGGGGAAGAGTATGGACAGAGTTGCGCGCATCTGGTTTACTCAACCTTTCGACAAGCCTGCTTCAAAAGATTTAGAGAGAGAGTGTGTGTGTGTGTGTGTGTGTGTGTGTGTGTGTGTGTGTGTGTGTGTGTGTGTGTGTGTGTGTGTGTGTGTGTGTGTTTACCAGTGATGTACTTGGGCAATTCCACTTCATAGCCCCCACCATCTTTCTGATGGCCGCGGACCCATCCTCCGCGATCGGTAGGACCTCCTGGAGACGCACCATAGCTGCTATGACCTTCGACAAAATGACAAATGTCAAAATGTTAGATTTGAAATTGAAATTATTTTTTTTTATTAATTAACCCTTGAAATTAAAATAGTGAATCCTAAAATGTCTGAGCGGTGATGGCAAGGGGACCACAGCAGGAGTGATGGCATGGGGAGGAGGAGACCACACCAGGAGTGATGGCATGGGGAGGAGACCACACCAGGAGTGATGGCATGGGGAGGAGACCACACCAGGAGTGATGGCATGGGGAGGAGACCACACCAGGAGTGATGGCATGGGGGGGAGGAGACCACACCAGGAGTGATGGCATGGGGAGGAGACCACACCAGGAGTGATGGCATGGGGAGGAGACCACACCAGGAGTGATGGCATGGGGAGGAGACCACACCAGGAGTGATGGCATGGGGGGGAGGAGACCACACCAGGAGTGATGGCATGGGGAGGAGGACCACACCAGGAGTGATGGCATGGGGAGGAGACCACACCAGGAGTGATGGCATGGAGGAGGAGACCACACCAGGAGTGATGGCATGGAGGAGGAGACCACACCAGGAGTGATGGCATGAGGAGGAGACCACACCAGGAGTGATGGCATGGGGAGGAGACCACACCAGGAGTGATGGCA